GGATAAATTACTATATTCTTACATTCCTCCCTTTTCTGTTTTATCAGTGGTAGAGGATTCGGGAAGGGGTGCAGGTCAGTCTCCAGTAACTGCTTCCTGCTGACTAGGGGCGATGAAGTTCATTTTTGTATTGATGGGGGGCGGTCTTCGGATGAGCCCTTGGTCTGCAGTGGCGATGGCGTGTTCTAGGTTCAATAAGGATCACCGTCTTTAGAGAAGGGTTGGTAATCCTGTAATATAAGCTGGTTAAAGGTTTGGTTAGAAATTTTTTGCATTTGGGCTGATTGCTATGTTTACATAGGGTGGCTGAATTAAGAGCATTTTGGGGACCTATGTGTAGGCAGCAAAGCAACCCGCAGGGAGAAGGGAATCCTTGATGGTGCAATCTTTTGGACAGTCTGAAACAGAAGAAAGGGCTGGCGTTGGGAAGATAGGTCTGGTGAGAGAGTAAGTGTTGAGACCAGGGTTAATAATCCTGAGGCATGACGCATGGCGGTTGTATGGGAGGTCTTAGGACTCCGTGTTGGCAGAAATTTCTTCAGTGGTGAGTGGAAGTGGAGATGAGCAGCGTGAAATGCAGAGAGTAAGAGGTCTCATCAGGGTAGAGTAGGAACCTGTGGGAGATTTGGTGGGAGGGGAATAAGGGGAGACAAACGAAAGGTGGGAGTTGTGTATCCAATGGGGAAGACCCTGGAGTTCAACTGCAGTTGGCGTGGGAAGGATTACTGTGTATGGTCTTTGCCATTTGGGAGTTAGGGATGGTGTTGCTTGGTGTTTGGAATGGGCATGGTTTGGAGAAGTTTTTTCCTGTCCATGGTAATGGCCTTGTAGCGTGGGGAGAGCTGAACTCCCAGGTCTGTGACCTGAGTGGCAGACACCTGAACTTTGGAGGGTGAAACCCGATAGCTGCGTTCTGAGAGAAAGTGTAAAAGGAGAATAGTATCCTGTTGAGAGGTTTGTAGGGAGGGACTGCAGGGGAGGAGAGTATCTACATATTGAAGGAGGGTGGAGCTCGAGAGAGTAAGGGATTTGGGGTCTTGTGCTAGAATCTGTCCAAAAAGGTGGCGACTATCTCTAAAGCCTTGGGGAAGGACTTGTTAAGTGTTCTCTGAATATTAAAAATTAACTTAACATAAGGAATTTCCTGCCTTGATTTCTCTCTGGGACACTGGCGCCTTGGTCTCAGAGCACATCAAAAGGCTGCCTGCCCAGCCCCCAAGGTGGGCTGAGATATTGTCTATTTGCTAAAGAATCCTGTCTTTCACTATGCCGTCTACAGCTGGGTCTGCAGCTAAGTTAGTTGATCTGTTTGCAAAATTACCTCGTCAGATCTGAAGGAGGAAAGACAGCATGTAGGCCTGGGCCTTTTAGCATGCTAAAGTGAATCTTATACACGATTCCAAATGATTAGCATAATAAAACATGTGCTACTCTTCTTATCTGGGGAACATTAACTGACCTCACTGAAGAATGATTCTAGAGCTTAATGTTCAACACAGTTTTAGTAGGGGGGGTTTCCTAGCATGTAGTTACACTGCTCTGACTGCAAATATCCTGCCTTGCTTTCTCCAGAAGCTCTCACCTTATTCTAAAGCC